GTACTTCTTAGAAGTTGTCAAATTTATTTCAAAAAAGATCTTTGAAATATGCTTTCTATATCCCTTTAAATTCTGTAAAATCTGTGGTAATGTCTCCTAGGTCTTGATATTTTAATTTTAAAAATGTGTAATTGATATTGTGTAATAGGAAGTAAAGGTTTAGGGGGGCGGGGGAGGTGGGGGGGAGAGAAAGAGGGGGAAAAATATGAGAAAGGGAAAAAATGGAAACGGGATCTTTGCAAGTAGGGAGGGGTGGAAGGGATAAGGGGAGGGCAGGGGAAGGGGGAAAAAAATAAGAACCAAGATACTCATGTAGTGGTACAAGATCCCAATGATGTATGTAAATATATTTTATACCTAAAGTGTACCAATAAACTTAATGGTGGAAAAAAAATAATGCTATATAATAAACTCAACAATAGATCTAAAAAAAAATAGTACTTTAAGGGAACACTATGCTTTCAAAAAGATATACCAGGGGATGGGGATTTAGCTCAGGGGTTTCACCACCTGCTGCACAAGAGCAAGAGCAAGGACCTGAGTTCGATCCCTGGTACAAAAGAAAAAAAGATATACCAATATTGCATGTGGGCCTCCCAGCCAGGGATGCACTGGTAAGGAGTGGAGCCCCATGGCACCTGAAGGACCCCCAACACCCACCCCTGCTTCTGGTCTCCTAGTTGTGCCTATACCTGGATCTATACCCCAGAGGCACAGGGGATCATAAAGGCCATTGTCCTGAGCTCCAGAAGACAAAGCAGAAGTGAACAACAAAAAGAAGGCCTCTCTCAGCCTCGTTGATGAAAACTGAAGCCCATTGGAGAAGTGAAGACAATCTCTGCAACAAAGGCACAACAGACCACCGTACTTGATAAGTTGGAGGGATCATCACCTCCCATCAGAACCTGGACTATCTTCAGGGGAAGGGCAGCTGAAACCTGCAGCACAACCTTGCAGAGTTCAACCCTGCAGGAGGTCAGGGAGTTCAACTTACACCTTGCAGCCAGAAATCAGCCTGAATCTCAGGGGTCTGCTGCTGGCTTGATGAGACTAATTGACTTAGGTGTTGACTATTGTGACATGTTGTGTTTTGTGACAGCAGAGACATTCCCTAAAGGAGGCCCTTCATTTTTATTTTTTATTTTCAAAATCATTTTTTCTCTTATTTTTAATTTTTACTTATTTTCTTCTATTCTTTTCAAATTTATTTCTTCTTTCTCTCTTCTTTCTTTTCTTTCTCTCTTTCTCTCACTTTCTCACTCTCCTACATTGTTCTTCATCTCCCTTTTTGTTCCTTTTCCTGCCCTAATTTGGATTTCTTCTTTTTCTTTACTTTGCTCTTTTTTCTTCTCCCAATTGTCATTAGTTTCAAAGGAAAGTGAATACAGTTTCTAGCTTCCCTGTTGCTGATAGATTGTTCTGTTCTTTTCTTTGTTCTTTCATTCTGTCTTTTCCTCTTGTCTTCAACAGTTCCCTAGAGTTTGCATTATCGTCCTGTATCCTCTGGCATTACTTCTAACCTTTCCCTATCCTTCTACCTATCTATCCCTCCCTCTCCAGCTTCTTCTAAGTCCCCATCCTGAAAGATAAAGTTGCTATATTGGAGAGTTTATTCACTATAAACATATTTTGGTCTGGTCCTCGATTTTGATTTAATTCACACAATTAAAGGTGATAGATTAATAACTACCACATTGTCATTTTCTAAGATATACTTTTTACTATTGTTATTGCTGATTGTACCTCTTGGGCTAAGGGGTTGTGATTGATCTAATCAGTTATCCTTCTGGTATAATGAAAATGAGATTGCCTGAGAGTCTTTAGAGACTCAAACCCTTAAGACCAGCTATATCTGGAAGACACCTCTGAGAAGCAATAATTCCATAAGAGTTCTAAATACAAGCAACAAAGATACCTACAATAAGCAATATAGAAGTATCAAGCCAGGAACTAAACCTAGGACAGTACCAACAACAAAAATAGAAATGAGAAGACATTTAAGTAAGGCATAATCCCAGACGTCCAGCTCACCAAAGGCAAATTCTGGGGGAAACAAGATGGAAAAGTCTGATAATCAACCACCTGGACACCCTGAACTGATAGCACAGAAAGTAACAAAACACATGAATGCGGCTCTAGAAAAATTCAAAACAGAAATAATCTCCCAGATAACTACAGAGATGGTGAGCAGAATGAAAGACAT